AACAACGAAAATTTTCTAAAAGACACAAAACGTTCAAAAACGCAGGATGGCAGACAAAATCATTCAGAATTTGAAGTGAATTCATTAAGATAAATTCAACATAATAGGGCAAAAAAATGGAAAAAATTCAAATGTGGAACGTATAAATAGGTTTTTATAATTAAAAAAAAACTTTCAATCAATTAACTCTCAGAATGGAATGTGGATCAAGTCTAATTATTGTGAAATCGAACTTGACATGACCATAAGCTATGCCTGTGACGCCGCCATGTCAGATATGATCGTGGAAACACCATGTGAATGTACGCCTTGGAAAAGCGGACGTTTATCTCATACTTTTGTGTGATATCGAAAACTTTGTTAGTATTGTCCAATCGTGAGAATTTTTTACGATTCTGGATGTGTTTTATTTTTATTTTAGAACGTATTCATTGCCAAAATGTGTCCGCTAGCCTACAGATAAACGACTAGTTAACTTGATTAGTCGTTGGCAACACGGGATTGGATTTCAAACCACGCGCGATTTCGGCAGCACGGTAGGTCCCAATGAGCTCAGTTTATGAATTTTCATTGCAGTGGAAGGTGGTGTAACGCGGTGGTAGGGTTGGTATTTCGATACGTTTTCTTATATTGACATGAGAATATATTACCTATACAGAATTCCACACTGATTAGAGCCGCGATATTTCAGACAAAAATAGGACTTTTCCAGACTAGCTATATCAGAAAAATAGGACTTTTTCCAACTAGACAAAGGGGACATATTGAACAATAATCATATTGGTAAACCAGAGATTTTTTAGAATCAGTTCATTTTCCAATTCCTCCACTAGCTACTCAATATTTTTATCAATTTATTATGTATGATAATGCTGGTAAGATAGTATCCAAGATATTTACTGGTCTACTTACAGGACTAAAACTGAACTTGAGCAAGGGCAACAAGAAAAAAATGTTCTCAGCCACTATCTGCCTATGACTGACTAGAAGTTTAGTACCTATGACTATGAGTACTTTATGACTATGAGATTGAGATAAAGAGGGAGAAATGCGACATTGATGATAAAACAAATTCAATACAAAATATCTACACTAGCTATTAAGCAGGAAATACGAGAAAAAAACAATAAACTAATTGAATTACATTCACGTGATCCGTGAGAGCACTTATAACGTAACAATCAAAACCAATTTAAGCGATCCTGCGACACTTACCTACCACAATCAACGCCGCGTTTCGAATGAAACCCAACGCTCCTGTCGCCCGCTTAGTTTGTTGACACGAGCACCTCAACCAAATGATGAAAAGCCGAAGTCAATTTTAAAAGATGCTCTTTTCAAGCAGGAATGGATATTTTCAATGAAAAATATATCCTGAAAAATGCACAGATGAATTTCAATGATAAGTTTTATAACTTTTTATGAATTTTAAACTAAATATTTTTGGGTAATTGTGTGACGTGGAATGCTTTCCACAGCGACCAAATGACAGCTGGCAACGGACAATGTGTGAAGTGGCGCAGGTGCGGATGAAGCGATGAACAGTAGGTAAAATATGTTTTGAAAACATTTGACACGACCTTCACAACTATTTACTGTTACACGAAGTCCGTAATTTGGTCTGATATTATTTTAAGTTAGCTAGTCGATTTGATCAGAAATTATGCATGGGTACTCTTTGTTTGAGATGACATTTTACCAAAAAGAATCGTACTCATGGTTAACTAACGCGCCCAGTTCAACCATGATCGTACCTACGTGAATACAGATATATGTGTCATACACATTTTTATACGAGACTTGACCGTTTGTGGCTTGCGTGTATTCATTTGTCTCTATTGTCCAGTTGAGTGGTTTATTTAATCTTGAATTAGAGTTTGGATTGATCACACCAAGTCGATTGAAGCATTTGCACGACATATTTTTTCCTTTTAAAAATTTGGTAATTGAGTGTAACCTGCTTTTTGTTCATGCAACCACTTTTTATTCATGGATTGAGGTGCTGTCAAGGAGGGAAGGACGATTTTTAATTAATCGTGGTAATGGTCCGGCTTAAATTGATTTTTATCAACATAATCTCAATTAAAGTCAAACGTTCGATTGGGTTTAGTGGTCAATCCTGCCTCGGTCAGGTAATTTCCTCCAGTATGTGTCGATGATCACTTCTTTTATTCATATGTTTAATAGAAATATTCATGTAGAGAAACAAATTGTACTGTGAAAATTTCCGTTTCTATTATAAAACGGCTTTCTTTCGTTTCTTTATTTACGGCTTTCTGATCGAGAGGAAATCAAGAACCACGGGGCGTGGACAATTACATCGTAAAAGTTTCATCAACTTGCAAAGTAACCAACGTAGTCTTGGCATACACATTAACGAATAGAACTTTAACTGGGCAGGGAGGCCCAGTGGTTAAAGTTTGGGGGCCATACTTTCAAAAATCGCTAAGTGAATGTAAGTACTTACGCTCTATTTTCTTGTCCATGATTGGTGGATTTTGCTTAAAAGGCCGTCAATGATTGGTTCATGAACATACGATCTCTTAACTATTTTGAAAGCATAGGCCCAGAGTACCAAGATTGGAGCAGAGAGGTGCGGGGTGATCCCAGCTCTGTGCGCCCGTTTCTGGTCAGAATCGGCGAGGAGGCCGGGCGGGCACAGCAGAATTGTAGCAGCGAGTTGCGAGTTCGAGACCGCAAAATGCTGGGAATGTTCTGCGATGTCAAGAATCGGCGACAGGCCTACGGCCTACTAAACGCTGAAACCGTTATTTATTTTATATACGATATTATCAGTCTCATGATCAATTTTAAACTCTTGGACGAAGTTAAAATGTACGATATCCAGGAAATTTGTACCCAATATCTTATCCCAATTTGCACGACCCCGCACTGAACCGTAATCCATCACCTATGGCGGGTGTGAAGTTCCAGACCTCGGCGGCGAAAGGGAAGTAATCCCTTCGTACACTCTTACTGCTGATCGACTCTCAAACATGCCAACCAGTGAAGATCCGCGAATGATTCTCTAATTTATATTTCATAAAAACCCGCGATGAAATAAAAATCCGGTAGGTGAAACGAGATATGGTGAGGGAATTGCTACTTTTCCCCCATTACTTTTCATTAACAACGCTAATGGAAGGGACGATACCTGAAAATTCTGGATCCATGGCGATTAGCGATTCTCGTGACATATAATTCATAGGACCTATTCTTGTACGACTGCTTACTTGCAATTAAAGCGGCATATCATGCATTACTATCACGACTTAACATGCAGTGATGCGATGATAATGAACTCCGTCAAATCTGACGCTGTGTAACATGTTTCTACTAATATTAGAGGTCCCGCAACCCAAACGTGTAATCAGTTGGTATGAATTTAATCCAGCTAGCTAAAATAATTCATATTGTTAGCATAAATTTGGAGCTCCCTAGAAGGTAAACTGGTGCCTGCATTTACCCAATAGTAAATTTAAGTACTAAAGTAGAAACCACCAAAAAAAGCGGGTCGGATAATAAAACCACGAGTAAACAATAAATATTAGAATAAATACCAATTTCAGAATAAATAAGTTTATACACTGGAAGATGAATTTACAAGAAATCGTTGGAGCATAGCTAGCAACAAATTATGAGCATTAATGTAGTCTTGGGAAACGGGGCAAAATATAGGCAGTAACACGAAATAAAAAATATGATATCACACAACTGGGAAATTTTGTAGCTGCGAAAATGCAGAATCCAACAAAAACCGAAGGCATTCCACACGCTAACTCAATTAACATTAATCTCACGCGATTGGAAGACATAACACGAGATAAATATCTCGACTTCCCTTATAGGAGGTTGTTAGTGGCAGCACAACTTCGGGAAATATTAGCAACTACATTAAATTAGCTACGGAGACACCAACCACACACCACGCATAATCTAACAGCTGTCGATGATTAAGACGACCTGGTAAATAGGAACTCGACGAATCAAATAAGTTACAAAAAAAAAGTGAGATCTCAACCTTCGAGCATTGAGACCACGTATTTCTTGTCAACAAATTCACCCCAACAGGCGGCGGCGCTAGCGTCTAGGGGCTACTCGGCTGTTAGGTTGAAGATGTGTTGCGAAAGTTGTAGGATATTTCAAATAATTGCCAAATTGAGCATGGTGGTCACTTGGAAAACATAGAACGGAAGAAAATCTACGACTGTTAATATACCTAAATAGAAATTAGGAGAAGCAAGTTTGGAGCAGTGAGTAGCGCGTTCGGGTCCTACCCTAAAAAGCTGTAAAAATTTGGCATTGCTTAGAACTGACAAGTTTCTAGCTTAGCCTTGATCACTAACGCCAATACTATTATCTTGTTAGGGATCAATGTGCCGAGAGAACCAACACAGCATAGGACGTAGCTCGATTACAGATGCTTCGACGCCCTAACTCAAGCATATGAAGTACTGGAAACTTCATGCTCATTTCGAATTTGTTAATGGTTGCCGTTTTGAAGAAGATTCATGACATAACACTCCCATCCATAACCAGCATTAGATATATTACGAGAAACCTACCTGCTAGCGGCAAAGAAACATTATTGCGGAGACTCAAGAATCAATCACAAAAAATACATCAGGAAACATGGACTAACACACCATTAAAAAAGTCTGAAGTGGAGTTAGTAGAAGCAGCTATTTCGTACAAACGCCAAAATGTTAAAAATATCAGAGCACCATTTGTTAGTTATACGAACGTAAAATAGAAACAAAACTACACCAACGTGAGTTCCCAATTGTCCGTGATTTGTAAAAGCCATTGAAGTAAGGCTGCACGATATCTACGCAACAGCTTATAGATCTATTCAGTAACCCAGACAACAACGCGTATTAATCCTGCCTCATTTCATAATGTGCGTCAACTTCAGCTAACAATATACACTGAATAACCTGACTGCATACAACATTATTACCCGACCGCCAGCGCGTTCTGCGAATAGTGATATATTCTTACCCTTAATTATCTCGACCGAAATCCACATTCAACGTTCCGACTAACGAACAATTTGATTTATACAAATAAAAACGAGCATTGGGTTACGCATCATACCTTCATAAGCACCTACCAAAAGAGGGAAGCTACATCAAAAGATATTACTCAGAGGTTTTGATCACATAAATCGTTACGAATTACAACAAAACAACAACTTCAACTACAACATTAAAAAATAGCTCAGTTCTACAATGTACATTGGTTAACTGAAGTGAATGCCAGCTTTATTGAAGGCGAGTAAGAGCTTCATGAAGTCTTCTTGTTCCATGGAGCGCGCTCTGCTCTGCAGCATGCCGCACTCCTCCAGCACCGCCTCGACCTTCGCCTTCATGTCGAAGTCTTCAGGAAACTTGCGGTTGTGCTTCGCGCACCACACGCGGTAGTTCGTCAGCAGAGTCTGGCAGGAGGATGGCCATCAGGGCATCGAATAAATATTAAAACTCAAGTCTAATGACAGGGAAGGAACGGCTATTAGCTCTGCATCTGTTGTAATGAATCGTTAATTTCCTTTGTAGAGGAAGGTAGAAAACTAAATTTTGCTTCAACAAAAGGCAAAACGTGTGCAAAAACATGAAAAATCAGCGTCACGCAGTCACCTTCATGACAGCAGTCTGCTTGAAGGCAGCCAGTAGCGTCTTGCTCTTCCTAACGAAAGCGATGCGCAGGAGGCCGTCCCACTCCTGGAAGTTGATGTTGGGTAGCGGGTTACGGGGCTCGATCCTTACCACCGACGACTCCACCTGTGGGCATATGGCGCAGCTACAGTACTAGTCAATATCGGCATTCAGATCACAGATGCTCATTCTGGATACACAGAATACCAGCACCCAAGGTGACCGTGATCTTGCCGCCAGAAAAGAACAAGTCATTGGAAAACCTGGATTATGATCTTGCTTCACGGTTAAAATCAGACTAATTAAGATCGGATCGAGGCGCCCAACAATGAGTAGGAGATTAAACAAGATCAAGGTGAAGGCCCAGCAAGCCCCACAAATGCACTCGTACTGAAGAGATATTTTTATGCATTAAAAAAGAGTAGTGCTTCTTCTGCTCAAGAGTCAGTGAGTAGTCCACACAAAAAGGTACCTAGAGATAAAGATTGTCAAGTGAACATCTCTTTTTGAAGATCTATAAAAAATCCCCTGAAAAAGAGCAATCAACTGCTTTCATAAAATGCAAGTAATTTGTTCTTGGTTTTCCGAATACTTGACTCATTCTAATCGGGAAGCTCCTCCAGTATTGTTGTCATACTACACTTAATTTTTGGATTTATCATTTTGGCTATCACGAGAACATTTACATTTCCAAACTATGCTTTCACAAATGCCAAGGCATAATACCTTGGGCGGAGGTTTGAAGTTATTCTTGCCGACTTTCATGAGGTGGTCCACTTTAGCGAGGAGTTGCGTGTTGACTGTGAGTCGGCAGTATAGTTTGCTGCCAGGCTTAGCTACGAGACGTTGAGCAAATTCCTGCTGGAACATCAGCACCGCACACCGGAAGATGGGTCGATGTAGAAGTAGCTTGAAAACGAACGGCGACGAGATCTGAACAGTATGAGGATATTGAGGAATAAGCCAAAGCGTCGAGATGTGGAGGGCATCAGCTAATGGGCACAATTAGTAGGGGGAACACATCTAAGAGAAGCCAACACTTAAGTCTTTTGCACCGAAAGAAAAAGAAGATCTCGAGGAGTGAAAGGATTTCAGCATCTAGGTAGACGGCACTGAAATGGCAACTAAATGCTCTGATGCAGCTGGCAAGAAAATACCATTTCGGGATGGGAAGACGTGTGCGTTGCGGAATTTAAAAGAAAATTCTTCAGCACAAAAGGGACACCCTAACGCGCAAACACAAGGGAGACGGAAGAATAAATTAAAGAAACGCTGCAAAAATACATTTAAACAGAAGGAAAAGGAGGACAGAGGTTGATCAATGATGAGTAGCACACAAAAAGATAAACATTTAAGGTAGTAACAAAGAATAAGAAGCTACACACTACACACCTGGTACGGGAGGTTGGCCACACAAACATCAAAGGCAGGCAGGGTTGCCTTGAGCACATCGCCGATGCGGATGTCCAGCTTGCTGTAGAGCGGCGTGCCTTGGAAGCGCTTGTGCAACTCCGCCACCATGCGAGTGTCAACCTGGCCAACAACTCACGTGTTAAGGCCTATAATGGATTTTGACACTTCAAAGGCTATATTAATGCTTCTAATTTTAGGGATTCTATAATCAGTGTCAAATTAGCCAAAAATCACATGTTAATGCTCCTAATTGCCATAATTATGTTTCTAGAATCACTGTCAATCTGGTTAATAACTCTGGCATTTTCATCAGAAAATGACTTGGAATCTCTTTGAAGTCATGTTCAAAATCATGATGTTGCGCAAGACTTTAGATATGTTATCAATAATCATGGTTCTCTTATATCAGTGGTTCCCAAAGTGGGCGATACCGACCTCCTGGGGGCGGTGGAAAGATCTGTGGGGGCCTCTGGAAAGATCTGTGTTTAACCTTTCTCTTTCAAAATTGCAGCATACTAATATCAAGAAAGAGATGTTTGTTTTTATATGTGTCTGTCAGCGGGGGGCGCTAGAGATTCACTGGGGAGCTAAGGGGGGCGCCAGCCTGAAAAAGTTTGGGAACAACTGTCTTATATGATGAATACATTATTTGCAGTGCGTCTGAGTGAAGGGTAAGTAAATCGTGAAAATTTTTGAACAGATTTCCTCACATCTTACTTTGTTTCTCTTAGTTTACCCTAAAATTTTCAAATTTGGCATTTTTGAAATTTAATCTCATCTTAAAGCTGAAATTCTGCTCTTTCCAATGGTACCACTGCCATCTCTGTACGTAAATACTTACGTTCATGACGTCTCATTAAAGGGAAGCGGGTGGGAGAGTTCTTCAACTAATTAGATATAAAGTAATTAGCTGCTGAAATCTTTGAATATAGTTTCTACTTGAGTTGTGCTGCAGTTACATGCTTGCTTAGTCTCATCTTAAAGCTGACATTCTGAGCTTTCTAACGATACTACTGCGATCCATGTACGTCAATCTTTACGCACACGGCTGGTCTTTAAAGGGGGGCGGGGGGGGGAGTTCCTTCAGTGGGGGGGGGAAATGAGAAAAAATGAAAAAAAAAATTAAAAATGCGTATAAAAAACTAAGCCAAAAATAAAAAATCGGGCTTCGTTACTCGATTGGTATGGTCTTTAAAAACGGAATAGTATATGTCTCATCGCTGTAGCTTTAAAACTCTAGGAGGAGTAGGCTTTTCCGTAGTACCCCTTTTTTGTCCGTTTTCTATGAATTTCACGTTTTCTATAAATTTTTCCGAAAAAATCACACGAACAAAAATGTCTTAGAATTCTGTTTTACATATGAGTACCAAGTTTCAGAGTGATCCGTCCGTAAACAAAAAAGTTTTTCCGGAGGGTATACCTCCCCCTTAAAGAAGTTTATGAAAAGATTGTAGTCGAGGGATTTTTTTTTTTGAAAAATCTTACATGATATTGAAGCTGATGTTTCAATATGAAGATTTCGCGCAAAGAAAATCACTTGAAAGAACATAGTAAGCATATGCATACAATGCTGAAACTTTTAACTCATCCTTCTCAAACTTGTGAACACGAAAAAAAAATCCATGGCATGAGTAACAGAAACAAGAATGCGCACTAAACTCAAACAAGTCGTCGTATTGCATTAAACTTTACCTGGTTTGAAGCAATCCACAGAAATTACATATAAGTTGAGAGTTAAAAATGGATCATTGGTTGCACAAGAGCAAGAAACAATTAGATACATTGCTCATATCTACGTAAAACAAGATTTGCACTTGCAAATAAAATATACTATAGTTGGGGTGTATTATAAATAATGTTAGCAAAAATAAAATGAATAACAAAACATAAGTGCAGTGGGAATCAAACTGAATTTTGTAGGAATGAATCAATAAAAAATAATTGGTGGTGTTATGAGTTCAGTTTATAAAAAATTCGCTGGCAAATCTTCGGCATAGTTAACATATTCCAACGCTAGAGAGGCAGGAAAATGTAAAACAATGGAAGATTTTGAGCAGACACAATGAACTGTTCAGCAAAGTAGGTAGCAGATTTGCTCACTGGTAATTGGATTGACACGTTGACTACGATTGCTTTATCTTGTACTATTATTTCATTTTTGTACCGTTTTTAAACAGGGTTGCCAGACGGTCATTTTTTCTGGACAAATTCCGTGATTTAGTTTTTCTCAATTGCGTTGGCCGGCTAAAATTTATGATAGGAGTACTTCCTAATTAAATTTGAAATACTGCAAAAATAAAATAAATGGAATTTTCTATAGCGGAACCTACAAATAAACTAGTATATATTGAGTTATTGGCCTTTTTTGTTCTCAGGTTTGGCCCATTTTAGGCGACCTGAATTATGTACAACTACGTCCTGGAGAATTACATTTCGTGGTACGCATATGTACGACTTCTAAGTCAACGTGTTAAGTCTGGTGATAATTAAATGACTCACCTCACATGCTATGACTCGCTTGCTGCGCTCCAGCAGCTTGGCTGTCATGTTGCCCGTACCTGGACCCACCTGAGGATGTGTTATGATACACGTAAATTCTCACGCAATATGTCCTCATATACACATTAATTCCTGAAAGATATGCCCTCCTTACACAGCATAACAATGCAATATTTGGGAACACAGCAACGGGTAAATTCAAATAACAAACCATCAAATGAAGTCTTATGAAGACATTGATAACTGAAGGCATTCTCGGTGCTAAGAATATACAAGCATAATTATCAGCAACGAAATATGTTGGAGATAATTAATCTAAAAATTGATTGAAGGGAGTTATAGTACCTATATATATACATGCATATTGGTGTAATTTGGCAGAGGCTTTTCTTTTAAGCAAGTTTGATTGAATATCCAAGCATGCTTTTAATTAGCAAACTTATTTGTTTTTTCAATGGAAAACAAATAAGGAGAATGTTAATAAAAAGCATGCTCTGGTCTTCAATCAAACAAGTATGTATGTTAATATACATTTACAACTCAGAAATGATGCGTTTGTGTTTAGTTGAATAGCACAACATCAGCTAATAATGCGTTTAGTTGAATAGCATAACATCAGCTAATGATGCGTTTAGTTGAATAGCATAACATCAGCTAATGATGCGTTTAGTTAAATAGGATCACAAAGCTATAAAAAATTTCATTAATTACAGAAATTAGTTTTGTGTTGCCTCACCAATCTTTCTATGTTTAATACATTTCTGAAACCAGGATGCAGTGATAATTCTGAATTCCAACTTTATCTGCCATCTGTGGCTGTTCAAACGTGAACATTTGAATCATCTCTTACATGTACCAGTATATATATTTATGGTGAGGCCCTGATGAGATGTAATTTCAGAAACGCATGTAAAATATTGAGGTGCGATTGGTTTTCATAGCAGAGAATTTCAATCCAAATGTACAAAAAAAATTGCATCAGAAACCAGGTTCGTTCATGCTTGAAATGCTCTGCCACATATGGACTGAAGAACACGAGGTGACATTGCATTTTATGTCAAAAATAGAGGCCAAATTCACTTTAGCAATATCCTAATGCTTCAATCACAGCAACATTACATTTACAATTGGACTCATTTAAACAAAAACTTAGTAAACTTGAATCAAATGCAAAATTTAGGATTAAACTCTTCTGCTGTTCCAGCACACACAGCTAATGTATGCATCATTCCTCGGTGCACCATACTTACCTCAGCACACCATACTAACCCATCACCTCCACCACATCATACTAACATCACATTCAACACACCACACCATTACACCACTTCCAACAAATCATACTAATTTTACATTCAACACACATCATTACATCACCTCCAACACATCATACTAACATCACATAAAACACACATCATTACATTACCTCCAACACATCATACTGACATCACATTCAACACAGATCATTACATTACCTCAAACACATCCTATTAACATCACATTCAACACACATTAAATTACCTCCAACACATCATACCAATTTTACATTCTACACACATCATTACATTACCTCCAACACATCCTACTAACATCACATTCAACACATCACACCATTAAACCACTTCCAACACATCTTACTAACATCACATTCAACACACCACACCTTTACATCACATTCAACACACCACACCATCACATTGCCTGCAACACAAAACACATCACCTCCAAGACATTGTCTGTGGTCTTGAGGGCCGCCTTCTCAATCATGCTGTTGATGACCAGCGGGTTCTTGAGGATGTGCTGGCCAATGCCCGTATTGAACACCAGGCCCTGACTGGCGCCAGAACTCAAGCTCTTCTGTTTCTTCTTCTCAGCTGCATTTCCTATTGATAGTTTTTTCTGCAAAAAAACACTTTCATTGTCACAAATGAAAACATCTTGGTTTATAGCAACAAGTTGAGAAGGTTGGACAGTAGTGATAAGAGTTGTGAGCGCTGCACCATTGTGTGGAGGGTAGATGGTTGGGGCAATGCAAGGAGTATGAATATTCTGATGGTTGTGAGAGGAGTGTGAGTAGTCAGATGGTTGTGAGAGGAGCGTAAATAGTCTGATGGCTGTGAGTAGTCAGATGGTTGAGGAAGGAGTGTAAATATTCTGATGGTTGTGAGAGGAGTGTAAATATTTTTATGGTTGTGATGAGTGAATATAACCATCAATCTGAAAAGCCGTTGCTCTGCCAGATTCCAATATTCTATGTTTTGTTAATTTCTTTTTTGCTTACCCTATAAATCTAATATAGTATCTGAATTTTTTCAATGTCCTTTAAAACTGATATAAATCCAAATAATACCATTTGGGGAACAAAAGGATCAGTATATTTTACTCAATTTTCAAGATATTAATTATTAAACCTTTAGCAGGCAAGCATAGATACTAAAAAAATCAAATTTGTGAAGCTAGGACAGAAAATGTACCAATTTCTGAGATATATTTATTTACTCATACAAACCATTCGAAATTTTGCATTTTGAAGGAATTAATTGCATTCGAAAAATTCATTGGGTGCAGTGAGAATGCCAAAAAAAAACAAACATCATTTAGATTGATTGAAATAATGGAGAGAAAATGCATTCAACTTCAATTTTATCAAATTCCATCTATTTATAATTTAATGTTCATAATTGCATAGATATTGCAATTTCTGGTATTAAAAATAAATGTGGAAGGAGCATCAATTTTGTTGTTCGGGTCAAACATTCAATTTGTATAGTGATCCTTTGACATGGTAGAGGGTTGTGGTTTGTATGGAATGACGGTCAAATGACTGGGGAGTGGGTGAGGCATGCTAATGCAGTTCAAACACAAAGCCACAGATGAGGAGGGTCTGTTTGGGGGTGGCTTTCAAGTGACCATAAATGGTTATTTGCTCACAAAATTGATCAATTGCTGCATATCATTGCTTTAAGGGGACCGACTACCCTCCGGAAAAACTTCTACAGTTATTATCCGATCATCATGAAACTTCAAATACATACGTAAAATGTAAAAAAAATAACATTTTGCTTCTATGAATTTTTCGAAAAAATTGATAGAAAACGTGAAATTCATAGAAAACGGCTAAAAAGGGGTACTTTAGAAAATCTATCTCCTCCTACAAATATCATCCTACAACATCGAGACACGTATCATTCGGTTTGTAAGGACCATACCTAAAAATTTGATGATCACTTTTCTCATTTTCCCCTTAGTTTTTTTTTTATGCGCGTTTTATCCCATTTTTCTCATTTTTCCCCCCTCCCCCCCTTCTCCCCCATATAAAAAATGAACCAGACAGAAATTCAAAAAAATGATCATCAAATTTTTAGGTAATTTCCTTACGAATCGAATGGTGTATGTCTCATTGCTGTAGCTTGAAAACTGTAGGAGGAGATAGGTTTTCCATGACAATAAGTTGAACTTTTCAGGACAGCGCGACAAAGTCCCGTGCGCCTCGAAATAGGCACTCAGTGTAGCATGGATACCAAACTACAGGCTTCTGTAGTTTAATCCACTCAAGGATGCTAGCAGCAACTTGTAGCGCACCTCTACGTACAATGTTAGGAGGGTAACTGAGCTCAGATGCCAGATACACCAAGATATGTAGTCTTGCCGCTCTAATTTTCTTAGGTCTATTTAGTTAAGGAACTCCACCCCCCACCCCCCATTAAAGCCCGGCCATCTGCGTCAATATTGCCGTACATGGATCGCAGTAGTATCGTTGGAAAGCTCAGAATGTCAGCTTTAAGATGAGACTAAGCATGTAACTGCAGCACAACTCAAGTAGAAACTATATTCAAAGATTTCAGCAGCTAATTACTTTATATCTAATTACTTAAAGAACTCTCTCACCCGCTTCCCTTTAAAGAGACGTCATGAACGTAAATATTGGCGTACAGCGATGGCAGTGGTACCATTGGAAAGAGCAGAATTCCAGCTTTAAGATGAGCTCAAAAACCGGAAAACGCCAGAATTGAAAATTTTAGGGTAGTCGGTCCCCTTAAATGCAGTTTGCCTCTCATGTACACCCACAGAGTGATTGCTTGTATTCTTATTTCAGTTAAGGTAACTTATGAGACAAATTGCTAATCTACTTTACTAGCCCTCACCTTTGGTCTTGAATCATCAACTCCTCCCTTCTTGACTTTGTTCAGGAAGCCAGGACGATCACTTTTGACGAGGCTCAAACCTGAGCCAGGCCGATGAGCTAGCAACTTTGGCATGGTAGTTCCTTCACAGCTGCAATACCAGATGAAATTTTAGGAAAGTGTTAGGCATGATTGCACTTTAAAAACATTATGAATCATTCATGGAAATGGGCAAGATTTTAATAATTCATGAGACATGACAGAAAATCTTGAAAAAAGGACAAATTCTAAACCACAAAATAAATTAAAACATTTAAAATTACAAAGTAAAGCTTGGCCTGAGGGACACAAAAAAAGCCATTAGAGGTTGTGCTGGAACAGTTTTTAACCATAGAAGCTTATACAAAGGGTAGGAATGTGGGTCAAGCCTAGGAACTATGAATAACTGTTATCAACATACATTGTTCAGCACATTAAATATTTGTGCTAACCAAAATGCACATTTTTTTTGCTTGCACAACTAAATGATGGCTCTCTTGATAGGTGCAAGTTGTTTGAGTACTTGACAAGTGATATTATTTGCTCTATTTCTGAAATAGTACAAGGTAAGACATGTGGTTGAAATAATTTCAGAATGTTTATAAACAGTGTGGAATTCCAGAGGGGTAAGGGTAATATATTAACTGGTAAACATAGCAAATCAGAAAGCAGGACCCAAAAATCTGGAATGTCCAGCACACTTCCACTTTCAGTCCATCATCATCACTGATGAGTCTCTGCAAGATGCCACAGCTGTTTCATTGAAAAAAACAGCGCTTGCATCATCACAGTAACAAGAATCCAATCAACGCTTGAACGCGTCCAACGTACTGTCACAGGGATCCAATCATCGCTAGAACGTGTGCAACGTCACAGCCACTGGAATCCAATCAGTGTTAGAAAGCTAGAAGGGACCGCCTCAAATGCACACAATGTTAACGCACTGATGCTAACTTAATGCATACCATCAAACGGGGTAAAAAGGGATGGTTTGAGCATTTTTTGTTAATAACTTCTTACCATGAAACATTTCAGAAACAAGTTTAGGCTCATTTTATAGCACTTTGCGAGGGCTATCGAATGGCATCTTCAAAAAAATTCCATATGCTATTTGTGAGGTGCCAGACGCAAAATAAAACCGTCCCAATTTACCCCTCAAAGCGGGGTAATCCGGGACACTTGCAATAAAAGTTAATTTTAAAAAATTTGAAGCATGCAGAGCATACTCATCCATTACTAACAGTACTCTGAAGTCCTCCTCTTTCATTGTAGATGATGTAGATGTAAAATAAAAGACATTTTCTGTGATTTTTACTTGTTTTTCATTTATTGATATGATATTACCATATTCATTAATTACTGTATTATTATTGTGATATTACTGTATCCATGGACATGCCATTGAGCATTGACAACGACCTTGTCCACTGCAAGCTCCATATCAGCAGCCATGTAGCATTTCTTCTGTATCTGTAAGCTTACAGGATGGTTTGTAATTTTACACAATTTTAAGCAAGTCAAGTGATTTCACTATAACAAAAAAAAAAAATGTGAAAAACATACCTGAAACAGAAAATAATGTTTTAGTGACAACCATCATATGTTGTGGAGAAATAAATCATAGTTTAGGTCAATTACTTTTCATTCTATGATGCCTGGTGCACAATTCTATATATAGCATTCTATGTATAATTTTGTGACAATGATGATGCACTAATTATTTGATAAGTTAATTTTTTTTTGCTGAGTGAGGTAAATGTAATCAAAATTCTTTGTTGTTAATCAATTTTTTTGTTAACTGGAGCCTTTGCTAACTCAGGTTCTACTGTAAATGCACTTTTAAGGGTGTCCCTTTTTACCCTGGGGGGGTGTCCCAAGTAGCCCTGCCATGCGGAAATGGCTGACATTTTTTTTTTGGACTGAGATAGGCAAATTCCGTCAATTACGTTGTTGCGGTCCGGTCAACAGGGGTTCACAAAAGCTATGTGAAGATTAGCTCAATCACCCTAAGATACAATACCTAGCTAAGCCTACCTCCAACCCTGAGAACAAATTTGGGACAATGAAACAGGTAATTCCCAAACATCTGGTCATTGACTTTTTTTGGTGGAGTGTAAATAAAAGATAAATTTCGCTTTAGATAAATTTGTAATCTAAAGCGAATGAGAGACATTGTTGTGAGATGTGTGTATTATAAAGAAAAAAAGTGTAAAATGAATGAAGAAAAAGAAGAAGGGGGGGTGAGGTGGTGAATAACTGGTTCTGAAGTCAACATTTAATTCAATAGTACATAAGTAAAAAACGAAAGCTAAGAAAATTAATCAACTCATCCGTATGATGTAAACAGGGAAGAACCTGTCGTGGAGAATATGACCCATAACGTTCCTGCCCGGCTACCGGTTAGATGAGTTGGGCGACTGCAATAATCTTGGGGAAAAATAAATCTTTTATACTTATAGTTACTTACCACTATGTTTACGTGATAAAACTAAAGATGATCGATTTGAAAAACTAATAAAAACACTGTTAAATGTTCTCGTCATAATCGTTTTAGCTATGGAACTGAAAACCCGCAACACGTTAGATCGTAAACGAATGTGTTTCAACGTGGTCACTAGAACCTTAGGGCAATTTTAGTGCGTTTTACCTAGAAAGCTTAAAATGAACCTAACATTAGTGAATGATTAGGAAATAGGGATAATTATATATCTAAACGCTTTAAAATGTACCCATATAAAATTATTTGCGAAGAAAATAGTGGCCTTAAAGCTGCTACTGGATTTAATGGGCATTCATAGTTTCATAGTTCTAAAGATTATTCCACCTCATTTGTAGATTAAGCGCCTATTGCTTCCTAATTTGTCAGTAATGGGCTCATTGATATAAATAACACATAAGAAGATCTCAATTTAGCTTAACAATAGAATAGAAGATCTCAAGACCAGCTTAACAATATCTTTCAGGAAATTGTTTTACCCTAGATGTTGATCTCACTAACGCAGTTTTCACCAAAATCTCAAGATAGCTAAGATTGTCTTTCAGATCAAGCTTTCATTTTTCAATTACGTCACAGGGATTTAATGGCTAAAAATAACGATGAAAATTATATCATCAATGGACAATGTCTGAATAAAGTTGTCTTATGTGTTTATTCTCCGAAATGTTTGCGATTTTACCTACTCATACATGTCGGTAATTGTAACTAATTTGTCAACCACTTCACCAATAAAATCATATCTCAGCGCAGTTAGCTGCCTACTTCTTATTCACATTCAGAGCTGGGCAGCTCTACTTTGAAATAAATGTAGCGGCCTCTACCGCTATATGCTCTAAATGTAGCGGGCGCTACCGCTACAATTGTTTAAATGTAGCGCCGATACCGCTACCGCTACTGAAAATGTAACGGCCGCTACATGTAACTATAATTGAATTAATCAATTATACGCAATATGTGCGCGTAATCTTATCTGTTTAAGGTGAGCCTTATTCTTCTATTAACGTTAACTTCTGAACTACTTCTGAGTAATTTCTGAAATATCTGATTTATTACTTGCTTATTGACTCTATTGTATTGATGCGTTTGTTTTTACCAGTATCGCCAGTAATCTTCAACATCTGCCAAAATTAAGTTTTACCTGGACGCAGCTTTCTAAATGGATTTAAACTGCCTTGAATATGGAGAACTGCCCACTAAATGCGAAACTGTGAACAAATTCTGATTAAAAAGCCTTAATTGATAACCACTTGTTTCAATCCTGCTTAGCGCTTACCATTTGATCATTCCTAGAAGAAGATTACCTCCAGCGTAGGGAATATTTCCCTACAGTGTCATGTGAATTGTTCCCCCATTGTTTTCTGCTGGGCCTGGATTTCTTAAGTAAGTATGATCTGTCCATTGACCTTTGCAATAATGTATGTCGTTGTGACTCGTCTGTTATTGCAGACTTGTTAATTCCTATTGGTAACCTCTTTTGCACTGGTGCTTATATGATAGAAACAGAGCCTGGTGCGGCGCATGCATTGAACGTCTCGTTCGCTAATGGTAGCTTGAGGTTTGAATTAATTGGAAGCTTGCCATCTGTGACAGGTCTTGATTTATTGATGGATGATGAAGTTGCCCAACATCTTCAGTCACAATGTCCCGAGCTGGTTGACTTGTAGCGTAACCTGGAATCGAAAATTCCGACTGATCAATGGCCTCAGAGTATCAAACACTTTGCCAAACATGCATCGAAATTGTCTATTTATAAGGATAAACTTGTTTACAGTGACCTTGGCCCTGTTTTAGTGGTGCCATTCACAATTCTCGTGGAGGTCTCATTGAAGTTGCACAACGAATTTGCGCACATAGGTCGCGATAAATTATTGAGCCTTCAGTCGAACTTACTATGGCATCCTTCTAGATACAAAGTGGCGAATGATATTTTTTCAACTTGTCACAAATGTCAAATACTAAAGGAGTCTTTAACACCTGTGATTGCGCCAACGATAAAGATCAAATCCGAATATCCGTTTGAATTAGTTGCATCCGATCTAATTTCATTGACACGAACATCATGTGGTTATGTAGGTTGCTTAGCTGTTGTTGACCATTATTCAAAGTGGTTGGCAGTTGTACCAATTAAAAATAAGCAGAGTTCAATGATCATTCATGCTTTTAATCACCAGATATTTCCATTTCTGCAACGAATGCCAAACAATTTGCTCACAGATAATGGTCCAGAAAATATATCTTCAGAAATTAATGATTTTGTTGAATCTTGTGGAACTAATCACAAGTTAACAACCCCGTATTGTCCATCCAGTAATGGCAAAGTAGAACGCGTAAACCGTACTATTAAGAACTTTTTGCGGAATTTGGTTGATGACGCATGTTCATGGAGTGCTCATCTTCCTAAGGCTGTGATGGTTTATAACAATACTTATCATTCAGAGCTCCAGATGTCTCCGGCAAATTCCAGATGTCTTCTGATGGGAGACATCTGGATGTCTCTTGATGAAAAAATCCATCCAGATGTCTCCTGATGACAAAAGCCCACGCAACCCGTCCCGCACTACTGCCAAGTGACTTGAAGGAAACTTGGTCACCCGAAGTATGTACCGTTCAAAGTTGGTCAGTTGGTTTTGATGAAATGTCACCATAGAGGATTTTTGAATGTGAACAAATTGAGTGCCAGTTTTGATGGGCGCGCCGAGGTAATAAAGTTTAATGAGAATGGTGTTACCTATGTTTTAAGGGATTGCCAGACAATAGAAATGCTGAGAGCTCATCACGCTTGGCTACGACTTTATAAAAAGCCGCCAAGTTACATCACTAACTGTTCTAACGATGGAAGGAATGTTGACAGTATCCAAGTAGATTCTGAACAGTTAATACCTGTAGAAACTTCGTTTGTGTATTCTAGCTTGTCTAGCTCGCAAGTAGATTCAACTGATGAGGAATCCTTACGGAACAGTGATGCGTCTGACAGTTTAGAGTCCTCTATTGTCAGTGTTCCTTACAGTATTCAAGCGCTAAGTTCATCCAATTCAGCAGTCTCTGTGTGCTCCTTTCTTTGTAGAGGATGTCAGTTCGAGGCCAATGCATTTAATAAACTGTGCCAGCGGGAAAATAGCTTGAGCATTGTCGAAGCTCTCCAGGTTGAAGAGCCTGTCAGAGAAATTTCAAACTCGCCTCAGCCTCAGGCTGAAACTAGAAATTTCGAAGATCTGTGCAATTCAATCCTCATAATTGAAGACGACTGGGAGCTGTCATCTGGTAACTCCGAAAATATGTTTGACAAATCTCAAGAAACGACAGATCCTGGTAACAGTCCCCTAGTTTTGGATTATGTTGCTCTAACTAACGAAATGTCCACTGCTGGTGCAAGCCAAGTGTCCGACACACCACATAGGAAGTCTAACTTATCTGATCTAACCGGAGATGTTTCAGGTTCAGGCGCCGATATAGACCAATGTAAGTTGGATGCAGTCCAAAAGACTGCTAAATCAGTGGCACCTTTAGCTGAAAATTGGTGAAGAGTGAACCTGCCTATGTGCGACTCACGAGGTCAAGAGGTCCGGTCGAGGACGAACCTCATGTGCAGAGTAAAACGCTGGAATATAAAAGTTATCGCGTTGTTGAGAAAAATTTGAATTGATAGGTTCGCATTTTCAGCTGTCTTACTGGTACTAGAATGTTGCTGGTATAATTCAGTTAATATTTGTATGCATTGCGTTAGTATTCTTGTAATCATTCTCGTGTTCATATTTTACATTTTAGGATTCTATTGAATTTCATGTATGTTCATGTAACCTTGCAATAATTTTGTTGCAGGGGCTGAGCTGACCTGTTGCCTTCAGGGGTTCTGGCATGCGTCTGGCTCAGCCCCTCATTGGGTGGGTTGCCAGAGCCCCGGAATGACCCCTTACGAATTGTGGCCTCCTAGGCTCCTAGCTTCATCGCCGTGATATGCTTACATTAATTATCGGCCATTATTGCGAATGCTAATGAGAAACACTTATTATGATTCGGTTTAGCTGTGTCTCAAGTTGTGTCTTGGGACATGATCAAAGATCTCAGCTAGTAGCCGTTATGTTCTTGCCAAACTCATTTGTTTACCGAATGTTCAACTAGTATTTTACATGTAAATTTTGTGCACAGATGTAAATAATTTTTTGAAAAGTCAGAATATAAATTTATGCAATTTGATTTTAGAATGTTTAGAAGTAAAATCCCTTTAATCAATTTAATTAATTTCATTTAGAATAGGTAACGGTTTTAATGCGAGTATCGTTGGTGCAATAAACAATTTTAATTGCTGTACATGTGTCAAACCATAGATAGCCGTCATCTGCAAATTACCTTGCCACCCACATGGCTCAGATTTATTTATGCTGGTGGGGGGGTATGTAACCGGGTTACTTATTGGTTTATATCGCAAAATAAATTCGCTCATTCATATTTTATTCATAATAACTTTGTATCAATATTTTTGTAATTTTAGGGTAATAGTTATCTTGTACCATTTTAGGGTAAGGAAACTGACTTCTAAGGGACTGTAGTAAACACACGGTCTTGGCATGTCTGGCTGCGATACTCCCGGTAAGTCGTCGCACAGATGTAAATAGAGTAGTGTGTTAGGGAACCAAATTTCACTAATTTTTGATGTTCATGTGTACGCTCAATTCATTCTCTTGTTCAATTAATTTAGATTTTTCCATGATGCGTTAATGTTGTTATTGTGTTTTGTATTGTTGTTTTCTTTATTTGAATACTGCTTTTATTGAGCTGCAATCTGATTACCAATATACTTCTATCTTACTTGTTATTTATTTATGGTCTCTGCGCTAATAGTTTATCCAAAGTTAGTTGCCTGAGAGACCTAAGTAGGTCACATTGGGTTGACCTCACCCGCAAATGCGCCGGCAACAAATTCAGAGCTGGGCAGCGCTACTTTGAAATGTAGCGGCGCTACCGCTACCGCTATACGCTCTAAATGTAGCGGGCGCTACCGCGACCGCTACACCCACTAGATTGTAGCGAGCGCTACCGCTACCGCTACAGTAAAATGTAGCGCCGCTACATTAGCCGCTTCAATGGCCTAAATTATTGGAAATCTCTAAATATTTATTATTCTGCTATTG